TCTCGCAAAAGCAACACTGCAATGCTGGATGTTCGATGTTCCCTAAGAACCTCTCGATTTGTACGACTCCTCGACAGCGACAAACGCGGGATATGTTCTGTGTTTGAAACGGTACCTCACCGAAAAGCATGATGCAGTACCAGCTTCTGTTACGGTTCGATGGTTTAAACGCTTTTCATAAACGTCAACGAGATCTATTATCTCCGTCGAGTTCTACCAGAGTTTTGCAACGACCGGGTCAGATCGGATGTTCCTCGTTTCTCTGTCGAACCCTTAGTTTACCTGAAATTAGCCCGAGTGTTTATCCGAAATCGACACAAATTTTTGATTACCTGTCCGACCGCATCTTCGTGTGCAGTGATTCGCAGAACAGTGCATAAATGTGGAAATTGTGTATTGCTTGATGAAAATACTGTTCAAAATGAAACACGTTTCTTTTTAGCACCGAACGATTATTTAGAAGTGTGTAAACTAATTTTGATAATATTGTGAAGTGAATTAACAGATCGGGGTCGATTGAAACGAAAACTGCAAGAATCTCCAGTGTACTAATTCTTAAAATTTTCCTTCTATTCTTTTATTTGGGATAATATTTGGTGTGTGATATTATTATCGTGCTAATTATTTAATATATTATATTATAATGTTTTCTTTTATTCCTAAAGTTCTGCTGTGAAGCGTTTATTTTACAAATTACCGAGGAGAACTATACGTTGAAATATAATTAAAGAAGAATATGTGATAAGATGCAACGCAATATTACAAACACAGAAACGTTAAAAAAACCAACTGTTTATTTAGTACAAGTGTTAAAATCACTCAGCTATTTGCCAGAGTTTATTATACCCGAAAGTATAAAATACAGAAGTTCGTAAAATGCATGTAAACTTGTAATAATGTGTTTTTAGAATATAAATAACATTGCTAAAAAACTATAGATTAAAGTGACTAAAATAAAATGCGAATAACAAGCAAACAATACCTTGCATTATTGCGAGTGAGAACTTATAAACAAGCGAATACTTGTCGATGAACTGATCTCATTCCATTTTAAGTAAATGAATTATGTTCAATGTTTTCTTTTCGATTTCATTCCACTTTTCATAGGAGAAAATGTAAACAGAAGCGAAACTGTGTTTCGAGTAAATTCGGTCGCAGCCGTTGCAAAACTCTAGTATCTACCCGGTTAGCATGTAAGAAAAAAAACCATGTCACATTATTTCCAATACACTGGTCAATGCTGAAAGCAACACGAGTATAATACCGATCGTGTATGACCTTCATTGTTCACGCAGTAGCTCCACACCGTGATAATACGAAAGGTGTTTACCTACTTTGAATGGTCGTAGCAATGCACGATAGTGCCGTTTGCCGTCAAGTATGATAGAAGAAAGATATCTAATTTGTGTCGATGATAAAAGCACCGTAGAGAAAGCGCGTCTCGCGTTTACCCGTGGTTATCGGTGGTGCGTGGTAATGTGACTATAGTCGGAGCAAAAGATATCTGCCGTTCAAGGCCACCCAGCGACTATCCCCATCGCATGGTTGAGTTTCGTTTGTGCTGTTTTTCCGTCGTTTAGATAAATAAAGAAGGAATATTAAATAGCTACGATTTGTATTACGGTACGTTATTCGTGAGAGAAATGTAGTGCGGTCAAAAATGAAAGTGAAGATTAATAGCGATTATCCCTATCACATGTTTCAATATTTTAAACTTTTGTATCGTTTTCTTGGCGCTTGAAGAAATAAAGAAAGGAGAATTGAATAAATACAATTTGTATTATGGTAAAATATTGGTGAAAGAAATGTAGTACGGTTAGAAATGAAAGTAAAGATTAAAAAATGTTCGTTAACTTTAATTTAGTTACAAAGAAAGGTCGTAAATTTAGGAATTCCGATTTTTTAAGAACATTACAAATTTTTGACGAATCTCAATAAAAGTGTCATACAATTTTATTGTTTTTGCTTTACCATTTTTTCAGATAAAACCACTCGAAAAACTGTAATAATAATAATCACAAAAATGGTCAGAATGGTTTTTTTACGTACTAGTAAAACATTGAGGTGAAAGGCTAGTAACTGTCTTAGACTTTATAAAACTCTCCAATGAAATTCCTAAAAATTCACTGTTTAAATGAAAGAACTTCTACATTTATTTGAATACATTTTATAGAAATTTTTAGGTTGTTGAAAGCTATTAAATTTTCACTATAACTGATTTCAATATATGAATAGATACTTTTATCATAGAAAAGTAATAATGATATAAATAGACTTATCGTTTTATTACAAACTTGCAAAATTTTGAAAAAATTGAGATTTTGTTCTTACGATTACGGTTTCCAACCTGGGAGGCGCCAAAATTTTTAATAAAAAATTAATGTTTGTACCATAATATCTACAAATAAATAAACTTCATATCGTAACGTAACAAGATAGGGAGGCGCAGAAAAAAAACATTTTTTTAGGGAGACGTAGTAGCATAAAGGTTGGAAATCGCTGTCTTACGGCAAATCTCTTATGAGACATTAATGTAAATTTTAACAATATATTAAAGAAGATAGATATTGAGTGTTATGTCATAATTATTTAAAATGTAATAAAAAATAATTCAAAGTATTCGTAATTGTACCTTTCGATGTAGTTCTTTTATTTCTGGTTAGTAAAATGTTAACATATATTTGAATATAGAATAGATAATTAAATGTAAAACCCCTTTAGACGCGGCGCACATTATAATACACACTGTTTTAGTATCAATATCTGAGAAAATATTAAAACTATAATAGCCAAACTTATACGTGTACACTTTTGCTTTGAGCCTATTTCTATCTGAAAAGTAGTATACCACCATTATTTTATTCTAAATAATGTCGTTGATGGTACGTTGAATGGTAGTTCATTGTTAAATACGTGAACATAATTTTGTACAAAAATCGGATATGAAGAGGTTAAGGGATAATTTTATACTTTTCCTATAGAATAGTAAATACCAAGGAAACTGGTCACTTAACTCGGTGACTGTTACGTCACTCTTGTTTGAGTGTAGCAATTTACGAAATTAGCTTCGGGGTTGGCAACACCATTATAGAGAATAACGGATACGATTCTTCTATGGTTTTATTGGCTGTTGATTACTTCTGTCCTCTTTCCGTCGTTTTTTCCTCTTTCTTTTTTCATTTAGCTAAGAGTACGTAGCACGGATGGGGATAAATTATTAGGTTGTCCCAAAGGTTTCTTTCGTTTCATTAACACTAGGACCACCGAGCAGTTATCGTGACTTACTGTTAGTTAAAATTTCTTATAAAAAAGGTGAGAGAAAATTTTTTAAAGTTTGAAGTTACCTTTATTATTCTATCTACGCAAATGGATAAATTAATATAATAATTTTTTACACAAATGTCTTCATAATTTCAATAATTATGGAAATAGAAATTCTGAAATGGGTAATTTTGCCTTGTTTAGTAGTTCTAGTGTTAATATATAATGTATATACAATATTTTATGTTTTCTGTCGTATTATTGAATTATTTACAGTTTATTATGATTTATTAACTTCTTCCATTATTCCGGAAGTCTTACAGTATTATTTTTCTAAAATTTCTATCAGACTAAATATTGCGGTCAGAGCGCAAACGAACTTATGGGTCAATTCAACAAATATTTTATTTAATAAGAATATTATTATATTATATTATATTAAATTATACTATTTTCTTTATTGAGAATATCATTAAGGGTAAATATTCTTTATTTTATAGATTTAAGTAATCAGCTCAGTAACAGATGACTTATAATCATTGAAATGCGTTTATTAATTTTTACCTTTTATGATACGTGAATACTAACAATGAATACTAGAAACTACTGAAAAGTGTATTCAGATATCAACAGGAATTTCTTAAAATTATAAGTTCATTACTATGGTTTGTTCGGAACCGTACTATATTTCTTTTAATATTTCTTTCACCGTATTACAATACCATCGTAATATACTATTGATTGAAAATATCAAACGAGTGAAATAATTCGTGAAAGGTGAAAATACAATTTTACGTAGATTTGAGATAGATTAATCATATTCCATAAGTATTGCGCTACGTTACAGTATAGTATACTACCTCTTAGAAGCCTCTGTTCCTTATTTATTGTATTTTATTCAAAATTTTGTAAAATCGTTGAAAATGTTAAACTGTTGTTGTGACAAGGGCTATGAAACGTATGAATCGCAACATGAAAAGAATGAACATTTCTTCGATGATAAGACAAATACTTATAAATAACAGCGTATGGAGTCGAGAAAATGGATAGGAACGCCTGAATGTCTTTGTTGCTTACAGATATACGAAAACTCCGTGTAATATACGATTAAACCGTTCGAAGAACAAAATGAAAATCCAATTAAGGTCTCCAGATAATTTAACCTAACTTTGAACAATCATAAATTACCACTAAAATCTATTCGATCACTTACAAAAGAAAAGAAACTAGAAAAAAATTCGTTATGTCTCTCCTAATTTATCCATTAACTAATAAAACAAAATTTCAAGCACCCACTCGAATTTCATTTCACTAAAACATGCAAATTTATCCATAAACAACGAAAATATTCAAATCCTTCCATTTAATCCGTTCAACTGGAACAACAACCACGCACGAGACTCACAGTAAATTGAACTATTAAGTAAATAATGTACTCAATAGTAATTCAGTACCAATTTCGAAAGCGTATTTCATATATATCCTTATCGAATGAAAAGTTTCACTATCGGTCGTCAATCTCTCCAGGTCTTGTCATGATTCAAGCGCAAAATAAATTTCGGTGAAACCGGTGGAAGGTCCCGTACATACCGATCGTTCTTAGCAAAGGAGCTAGGAGTGGAAAGTTAGGGGGTATCGCGTGCGAACGAATGAATCCGAATCGGGAGGTGACCTTGAACGGCCAAGATGTTTTGCCCCGACTATAGCAAGCGCATTTCTCTGTTTGTACGTTACGGAAGGAGGGGCCACTGGCTACGGGTATGCAAGCTACGCAGTTAAACTATGGGGGGCAGCACGGTTTCGGTCGGTGCAGCATTGCCTCGCAAGGAAGCCTAGAGGAGGATGAATGCGACTCGAGCGAAGAACTAATAGGGAACGCGTCCGGTGGGGGCCAGTCCGAGTCACAGACTGCGGGCCTGCAACAGAAACTGGCCCCGATCAGTGGCTCTATGAAGCCGACCACCGTTTTCAGGCTTCACTTTCTTGGCTCGGTTGAAGTTGAAGAGGAAGGGAGACGTAAGCGCCTTAACAACCACATAGTGCGGGAGGCTGTGACTAAGATCAAGGTCCGCCCTCCAACCCTTAGATTTTTTCATTATATACCTTATATATATATATATATACACTCTACTCTAATTGTTGTTACTTTTAAACAGGGGTTGGAAACGGTTAGGCGCCGATTTCGGTTCCTGAATTTGTTATAAAATCTGATATGACGATGCAAGATCAGTGTGGCCAGATAAAGGAAATTGTGAGGAGAGTTATCCTTTGCATTACTTTTTTTTTAAAAAAAGTTTATTTGCATAACGTTACAGCTATTTACAAACAGGTGCAAATGAAACTAGTAAAAACAACCTTACAATAATATTTTGGCAAAGTAACTTAAATCTGGTAGTTGAGTACTTGAGCTCTTGTAGTTTGGATTGAAGTATCTAAGTATATCACAGATAAAAAAGTGAAAAATATACGAGTTTAATATTCTTGTCACGTGATAGGTCAGCAGTGGATGCAAGGGTTGTTGGTCTATGTCCATTGACGAGGAACTGAGTCGTAGAAGAAGGAGGAAAAAGTGGGAGACATGTCCTCATCTGGCCACACTGCGAGATTGCCTTTCCCTTAGTGATTTTTAGCAGCAATAGCGCATGTCTGATGTACACTGGTATCCTTAGATGCTACCAAAAGTGACTTTAACTGTGAGATTAGGCTATCAGTAACAACAGTCATGTTTGCGTTATATTGATTCATATTAGTGGGACAGTCAGGTTGGCTTGGATCTTAGCAGTTTATTCAATGATTTTCTAGAGAAGCATATGTATTAGGTACTGCAAAACGTTTGTGTAGTTTTCTTGTTGGCAATGAATTGGGGTCAGATTTCAATCAGTATTTCACTAGTTTAGTAAATAAAATTGGTATCATCAGCAAGTTATGTTTATGCCATTGACATAGAATAAAATAGAATTATCTTACAGAAACATTGTACATGTTTAAATGTTGATTTAAGAGGTAGTTTTTAAATGATTTTGAAAGATGGAATATGAAGTGGATCACGTTCATCCACTTAGTAGTTCTGCTGTTAATATACTGCTGAAGTACGCTATTAAATCAACTTAATTATTTAAGAAACTCAAAGTGCCACTAGATTGCGCTGCTAAAACTTGTTAATGCGAAAATTTGACAGTTACAAATGAAAAACTTCTGGTTTATGTTGGTTACAGTTATGATTTTGCAGAGCTGTTATTATATCAGTTCTCTTAAAAATATGTAGAATTTTCATTAGCAGGATAACAGTGTTAAATCGATTATACAGGGTGCATTGTTGTATGTGGAGGACACAGTTATAATGCAGAACACATAAATGTATGAATATATGTCCCATAATATTTTACTTTGTTTTCATATATCTATGAGACCTATGTTTTCGGAAACATGGTTTCCAAGGCTGATGATCCTTTATATCACAGCCATAAAAATAACTCGGTATCTTGGAAAATGAATTGCTTAGTCAATTTTTAGTTTTGAATTAAAAATACTGATTGTAGTAGTTTCTTTTTCTTAGACAAAAATCGACTACTCTATAAAATCAGCATTAGTAAATTAAACCTAATTTACCTTTTTTAAATTACTTAAGGCTTAGTCATTTTCAATTACTCTTATTTCATTCCAATTGTTGAAAAACAATCACCGAGTAGTTGTGAAATACATAAAAATTGTATAACAAATGGAGAATAGTTGTAGCGACGAAACTTCATCCGATGAAGATAATTTAAGTATTTCATAGAATGACTGTGATTCAGGAAGACTATATTAGTCTAAGCATATAACATGGTCGTACATTTCACATACAAAATACGTATGTAGAAAATATGAGTAGTAAACTGTAAATGAGATCTAGAAATAAGTAGCTGAAGCAAGAAATGCATTTGTAGCTCTCTTCTTGATAATATTGTTCAACATATTTCAACCTTTTTTATTATCCCAACATTCAATAGACGATTATTGTAGATTTTCGTACACGCAATATGAATGTAACAAGCATTTTTGTCCATCAGCCTTGTGAATTACTGATATCATAACATTTCTATAAAACCATAATCGCAACCGATATAAACTACGATCTTTTTCATCTATAACTGTTGCAAGATCACTGCAGTTTTTATACCTATTTCAGACAGAACCGTTTGTTAACCATTTCGCTATGACAAACATTTACATATAGTTCTTCATAAATTTAGATATTATTTTTAACACTATAACTACCGTAACAATCAAAATGACTGATTTCAATTTTGTTGTTTCGAAATGATTTTGAAAATAAATAGTTTCAGTTGAATACTATAATGAATGTCTGAAGAAATCGAAGATAATCTATTGTCACAATTTTTATAGGGATTATATATCAATCGTATTAAGTGCTCGGTAATTCTAGTGTTAATAAACCTTAAATTTATCAAAGTATCATTTTATTGAATTTACTATGGAAGTATCGTTATAAACTCAATTATAATTATAACTTATTATAAACTGGAATTAACTTGACAAAGACGCCTCCAGCACCATGTGAGCCATGACAATTGAACTGCCATAAGCGTCAACATGCCACTCTGAAGAAAACTTGAAAACGTTTATGGACGCTACCAGCAGCGAAAAGGTTAACAGTTTTTCCGGAACCGTTTCAACCCCTGCTTTCGAACTATCCTGTCTAACGAAATACTATTTTTGCCGCTCGCGGTTTTCTCTGTGTCGCTCGCCACCTCTTTTCACTGGCAACGAGTGAATCGATTCAACGAACGCCACTGTGTAGATAGGAATTCATTATTAACGAAGCGATAATTCACTGTTACCACGACACAGGCTTCATCCCTCGAACAGATGAATTTTCGTTAATGCATTGAACAGTGAATATATGTGTAGCAGGTTCAAATTATTTATGTTTGTATAAGGGAAGTTTAATGGAATTTGGTCGTGTTTATTAGTAGATTGCGGGCTTTTAATCTACATTCTTATTTTCATAGATTATTTCTTAACAATCAGAATAAGGAACAAATTTCATTCACCGAACTAGATATTTTTTATGGTAAAAATAAGATGAGAACATTATTCATTTAATTAATGTACACGTTGTCTTGCGTTTCACAAATTTACACATTCCATAATTGCATGAACATCCGCAGTCTAGTAATTAGTTAGTTGAATGCATGATTTGTTCATGCTTACCTCAATGCTTCTTTCTTATGCTAACAAGGGAACCTTTTCAACCAGCATACGACGATTTTTATGAAACTTACATGAAACACAGTTCTCAAGGCCAACATCCACTTTGGAAGATTGAAAGCACTTGAAAGTATATTTTTTACATCTCTGAAACTAGGGGGCGTGGAAAAGAAATTTTCTTTTTAAATTGTTCGCGTGAAAATGAACAAATAAGATTTCTTTTCTGCGCCCCCTAGTTTCAGAGATATTGAAAAAGATATATTTTCAACCCTGAACTTTGAGAGGTGTCTTCACGTGTTCAAAGTGAATATTGGTTGATAAGAAAAAATACGTGTCAAATATTTCTTTGAGAACTATATCTCACGTAAGTTTCATCAAAATCGGCGTGTGCCAATTGAAAAGGTTCCCCTGCAAGTATTGTAAGTAATTTGTGGGAAATATGGTATTTATTATTTATAGTTGCACCATTCGAGACTAACAGTGCGATTATACAAGGTCTTCGATTTCGTATAGTAAATTTTCTAAAAAATATTTTTACAAGAAACAATTGAAATCCACCAATAATAACGTTTGTAGGTTGTTACAGTTCGAAGATATTTTTAGCTATTTATTAACCCTTTGTGGTCGTTCTTAATTAAAGTATAAAATTATAAGTTATAAATAAAGGTTAAAAAATTAAGTAAAGTAAAGATCTATTATCGTATTAAATTTCTCTGAAATTTAAAAACAAGTCGTAAACGTTGTGTATATATAACGTTAATACGACCACAAACGGTTAAAACTTGAGAAAATGAAATCGAAAACAAAATGTTGTTATTCTTGATTTTCTTCTTATTTTCGAAATTCGAGATTTTTGCATAAGTACATCATGATTCTCTCCTCTGTCTCCAATTTTAATTTGCTTCTGAAAATTTGTCAAGTGTTATGGTATACACAGATGAAAAACAAGAAGATATCACGAGATATATATTATACGTGTTTCGAAAATATTATAAAATATATAAAATGTTTTATAAATTTTATAGCAAGAGCAATTGAATTTCTCACTAAAATGAAACGAAAGATACATGGGGTTTAAAACTCACTTTTAAATCTGAAATTTTGATGCGATTACGAAGTGTGTTTTATTACATTATACTGGTACGTGACATTTAACCTTTTGCACCGGAGAGGCACTTTTCAGTCACCATGTAATTTAACCCAATAAAATTATAAAATTTAAAATTCAGTAAATTTTGTATAATGTATCAGCACGTGGGAACATCTAACTAAATTAATTCTGCCCTTTATTTTACAGATTAGCAATTAATTTCTTTTCTCGTTAGTTGCAAAAATATCTTTGATATTTCATAAAAAAATAATAAATATTTGCTGAGAAAAATATTCTCGAGTGCAAGGGGTTAATATTGTTTAACTGATATTTCGATTTTGCTTGACTATGTAATTTCAATTTCTCGTAGTTTCCTTTCATAATTCGAGATTTATCTTAATTAATTTTGCATTAATACTTTAAAAGTTTGAAAACATCGTTAGATTCAAAACCATATTGAAGATTTCGAAAACTTTAAAAGGTGGTGTACAGTGTTCATGCTTTGGCAAGCCCTTTAGTGTCTGACTTCTGTCTTCCCTATTTCCTTAAAGTTGTCAGTGAGCCAGTCTTCGAAAAAAGATATAGCAGACAGTAGAGGCAAATTACACCGATGTGAATAGTCACAAAAATATAGTAAAGCTCCATTTGTTTATACTCTGTTTATACGAATTCTTACTGTTCGAACTATAATATGGTCTAAATTAATACTAGATTTACTGACATTTATTGCATACTTTATCGCATTATACCTAGAAAAATATCTGTTCACTGATACAGACTTTGGAAATTAGGACTTTAGCGAGAAAGAATTAGAATGCATGTTAGTATGCTTCTATCAATCAAAATCAATATAAACTTTCACTAAATGATATTTATGAAGTATGAAAATGTATATTTTCGTTAGATTAACATGGTCAGTAAATCTAGTGATAAAGGGAGAGCTATTGATCATTAACTGAGCTAGTGTATTATATAAATCAAAAAGGGAGCTAGTGAGCCTTTGTTATTTAAACGACTGTATGGTATAAATAAAATGGAGAACCAGTGAGCCTTTGCTATTTGAGCTACAGTATAGAATAAGTAAGAAAAGGAGCTAATAAGTCTCTACTGTCTGAGCTACCATATAGTATAAATACAAAGAACAGCTAACGAACCTTTACTGCCTGAACTACCCAATCACTAGAATCGTCGTGTCCTACATATGTGTTCAGATAAGGAGTTTTACTGTATTTGTGCTTATACCGTCCCTTTCGCTCGCTCAGTCTTTATCTTCCTCTTTATATTGAGTCGCACCCTCCTACTGAATCGCACGACATTAACACTCGACTTACAGATATTTATTATACACCTTATTGTATTGTTCCTAGAAAAATACGTGTTCACTCATATAGATTTTGGAAATTAGAGCTTCAAAAACGAAGAATTAGGAGACGTGTTGGCATAGTTGCATCAATCAAAATCGACTTAAACTTTGACTAAATAATGTTTATGAAATATAATATCCCTCAAATTGAGGGTTTTTCTAAATCTAGTGTTAACGAAGGAAGAAATTACATAACTTCTAACACACTTGTGTCTCGCGCCTACTCTAATAGTGTTTCCCTGTTCGTTCTGTTATGCTTTTCTGTTTTTATTCGGAAAACCCCATCATCACTTTGCACAATTGGTTATTGTATCGCACTAAGAACTTTGTTGCATTTGATTGGTACTACTTCTGTGTATTTTTGAGAAAAATATCACCGATTTTATTCAGACATTATCTTTTATTTATACGCTTATAACTCGTCTACCACAAAATATGGCGGTGAAAACATTTACATAAATTCTGTGTCGCTTCGGAAGGTTTATAATGTATCCATAGAAACAAATTTAAAGAAAGAATTTTTTACAAAAATTTAATACTTTTTCGTCCTCTTCTTTTCGTGCAATAATCATAATAGTTAAATATTGCTATATATCGTTGTGTAAAAAGTGAAAGGAAGTCTTTAAAAAATCAAAAAATTTCTGAGAAAATAGATAAAAGATAGAAAAGTTATTTTTGTACAAAAAAAACCGGTGTAACGTTTGTGTAAATGTATTTTTAATGTTTTGTAGTTTACAAATTATATATGCATAAATAAATATTCAAATACAGAAACAGCACCAATGAAACATGGAAAAATTCTTAAGTTGAATAACAATTGTACAAAGTTAGAATGAAAATTGATTTATGACAATTATTGAACGTCCGTTGTCAGTGTACTATAAAAGTACACTGAATTTATCAATGAAAACTTGAATTTGCATATTATATAAGAGTTTTATGCAGTAAATTACAACTACTGAACATTAGAAAGTGCACTTACGATGCGATTAGTTGAGTCATTTGTTGTTTACATGCATTTCATAGATTGAATGCCCTATGACTTGGCGATACCCTTAACATTAGTGCCCTTAACATTATTTCTACCGAAGGTGTCAAAAGACGCCATTTGAAAATTTAAAATCTATCTATAATCGACTAAACTTGGAAAATAATTTTAAGTAAAAATTTCAAAAGCTGTCTTTTGACACCTTCGGTAGAAACAGTGTTAATATTGAAAGTGGACTAAGTTATTTCAAGCATCAAAAATTACACTTCTTTACAAATTACATACAACCTTATACAGTCATAATAAATTTTTCAAGACAAAATTTTGGAAATATCTTTTTATATAGTATACAAATCTTTTTTAATTTATTCAAACATAAACCTTTATATATAAATATATCGATACTAAAAAAATATGAGATCTAGTCCACTTTTAAAATTAACGGTACATATCTGGAAAAAGCTAAATGTTAGTAATTGTATAATTTCCCCCCGCGTGCATAATAAACGAGAAACTATAATACTGATCGCGAAAGAAATCATTTTAAGTGTATGTTTTCATAAATATTTAATACCAAAATAAATTATGAGGTTCATTATACATCATCCTAAATACTTTCAATTTTTTCAATGCTTTTTACTTTATCTGTAACTTCGATTTAGTAACATTAAAAATTGTTTTTTGAATACAATAAGTCATTTTGGATTAATGCAGACTCAAATGAACTTTTAACATTCGATCGATTGATTGGTGTTCAATGCATTAAACATTTTTCATCAATTATGTTGATACACTCACCTATGTAATATACATATACATTGTCATATTCGTTATTTTATCGACACGTTTATTAATTATTTGTATTACACTTGCTTCTTACATTTCACTCTATTGAATTTAATACATAGACTTTGCATGCAGATTTTTTATATCACAAATTTATGTAAGAGCAATGGAACACGATAATTACTGTTTCCCCTATTATAGCGTTCTTACCATTACATAAACCTGACCGTTGATTTATTGTAACTACACCATCGCTTGTTTTAACAAAGGCATCACTCGAATAGAATAGATTTTTAGAAATAATGCTTCTATCAAAAACAAACCAAAAGATTATTACCGAAAGAAATATCATTAACAGAAACAATGCGTATTAAATAGTCAGACAAAAGGTATATACATGAAAACACGTTTCCATATGAAATAATAGCAATTGAACAAACAGTTACTCACTAATACCTTGTTATTAATCCTCTATTGCATGAATTTTTATGAGTTAAAAAAAAACATAATGGCTGTTGTTTTATTTAAATATCGGTGTGGTAATGAAATAAATAAGAAAATATTAATAAACAATGTTATTTATTGCATTTTATGGCTGTTTCCGTATGGGAACTTCATATATATATACAGGTTCAAAATGCAAAGAATGTTTGTTACTGAAGTTGTTAAACTATAGAACATTTGAAATTAAGTTTTCGCTCAGGAACGAAATGCAATAGAGGCTTAAAATTCATATTTCTCGTCGCAGTATTAAATGCAGTCTTTCATTGCCTAATAAAGTATTATGACAATTTTCCAGAAGATTATCGATTCGTTTTTAAGAACAATATGTTTGAAAATTCTTCGTTTAATATTATATATTAACAAAATTAATGATCATATTATGAAGAAATTGTTGAAATTATCGTCCGTCGTGCTGTAAAGAATTATTATTAATTAAACTACAGAAGAATCTATATTATAAATTACAAAAGATTACATGAATTGAAAGTAACGAATACGAAACTTGTGTCCATAAGTTTCCCCTTCGAGGAACAAAATATACTTAATTTACTAAGGATATTGTATATTGTAAGGATAAGTTATTATGATAAATTAGATATACTCATTTAAGTCTGTCCTGTAACAATTAGTCAATTATTTTTACTCGTTGCCAGTGGAAGCAGGTGCAATTAAATCTAATGACTGAAAAAATGATGCAGGCGATTCTTAATGTTACTTCACACTGTTAATTGAATTTTCTTAAGAAACTCTCAGGTTTATAGAAGAATTTCTCATTACTTGCAGTACTTTAATACAATTACTATTTTAAATCTTTCGATACCAATACGAGTGAACATTTATTTCGTCTTCACAAATTGACTAATGACAGCTGTTTGAACATTACATACATTTTTATATAATGATTTCAGTTCTATACTTTGCAAACTACTTCAATTAATTAATTAAATCATTTCTCAATTTTATTGTTCATGCTGCTTCTTCATGATAGGCGTTGGTACGTATACATTCATATTATTATCCTACTGTATGATATTTAGAAATTTGAAATAAAAGTTCGCCACAGGTGAACGAAAATCATGCATACAAAGAATTGGAATTTGAACGTAGCGATATATTGCAATTTCACAATTGGGAAGATAAAAAGATTGTACTAATAAAATATTTCAGGTTCTTGTGAAATATTAGGTTTGTGTGAAGTAAATGGCCGTTTGTTGGACTTGTGAAATTTGTTAATACACTTGCCATATTTGTCAAAAGTTCATTCAATTGTTTTTATGGCATAATAAAAATTAATTTTCGTTAAATAAAATTTTGGTGAAATAAGTAGCATATTTGTTCAGGTATATAAACTATATAGAATTTGGACTCTACAAGCATAAAATAATAGTTTGAATTCATCAAGTTAACAAAACTATATATAATCATATTAATCGTGATACTATAAAATGTTTAGGTAATGAGAAATAATATATTTCATCAAAATAAGTGGCTCAAATAAACTTAATAATAAATAAACTCGAATAAACTAATTTTTGCAAAGAATAAAGTGATTTGTATAATATTTGAAGAATTTCTAGTATGTTTCAAATTCTACAGGCAAACACAGTTTATATGATAGAATCTTTATATTACCTCTGACAGAAAATGTTTAAGAAAAATCGTTAATTAGTACATTTAAGTAAGAATTCTTTTTAATTTTTTGTATACAAGTGCCCAATTTTCTTTTTTTCATTTTGCACTCTGTAAGAAGACAAACATTTTCATTTTGATATTAATATTTCATTTATGATTGGATGAGGATGAATGTGATTAGTTATTATAATAGATGCTTAATATGTTCGGTAAAACACTTTTTGTCAAGGGTAATGTTATGTCGAAAAAAAATGAATTAATCCTTTAAATTTCAAATGTAAAATACTTCAGACCTGAACGCTTACTGTGAACAATACTCAGACCAGGGTAACGATTTTTCGTTTCAGCATATAGAAATATTAGCTAATCCTATAACGCACAATTATATCTCTGGTTTGGTCCTTCGTTACGTAACATTATATAAATATTAATTTATCAATGAAACTTAGTTTTCATTTAATTTTTATTTAATCTCAATTTCCAATGATGATATTACATTTGGCGCATATGTTTGTGATCGCAATAAAAATCGATGTGAGCAACAATTTCAAAAAATTTATGAAATAATAATGAATTTTGACTAATAATAATAACAATAATATATAATGATGATGATGATGATGATGATGATGATGATGATGATAATGATAATAGTAATAATTTAGTAATAATAATTACTAAAGTCATAGTAAAATTGTAAAATTGCATAATAGTAAAATTGAAAAGATGATAATAAATTAATCCTCGTAAGCCACTGTAACAAATCTCTTAACTGTCTTTTTAATTCTGATATCGTTTTACAAATATAATAAAATTTAACGGTTTCGTAAACACAGAATAATAATTATATACCCGCTCGACTGTCAAGTGGCGCGATCACGCTTCTCCGTTAGACTAACTAAAACTGTGAGCCTATCAGGTCGTAAAATCAAATTAAGTTGATTTATTTGCTTTTCTTCTAATCATTTCTTTGCATTTATGTTGTCGCCTGCTTAGAAATGGAAAAATGAAAGCTTCGCGCCATTCAGAATTTTTTATGTAAAAATAGGAAAGCGTAATTGAGTTTTCGAGGTGAAACGAACGAAGTACGATCGCACCAATTGGTTTGCACTGGTTTCTTGCAAAGACCCATCACTCAAACGATTAACCTCTTGCGCTGAAAATGAATTCAGAGATTTTGCAGAGTCTGTTGCGAAGAATTTTGTTTTTACCTATTTTACGCAGCCATGTACACTAATTTTGATTATTAACACATTGAATGCTATGGAGACCACCGGTGAGCCCCTACCAAATCGAATTATTATCGTTAACTCAATTGAACAATGATTATTTGGAAACATTTCCATATTATAAACAATGCTACCTGGTGCGGTGACATTCAGCTAGACGACCGTGCAATGGTAACAATGCAGTTCAATCGAATAACGTAATATTATATTCTTTCCATCTTATTTATTTTGCTCTATGAAATCGTGCGGCATTGAACGCGTTAATAATTTTGTGTAGACTGATGGATATCAAAACAATCTAGTACATGTAATGCGATAAGTCTATCGACGTGTATAAGACCTGAGTACGAACTTCTAGCGCAAGAGGTTAAAGAAATCTATTTTTCCGAAAGAAAGGAATGTAGGAATATTGAATCTTATAATCGTATATCGAAATTGAAAACCAATAATGTAAACACGCTCGTAATAGGAAACATAATTTGCAACATTTTGCGTTATATGCATCGATATATGCGGCCACGGAGCACAAAGGGTTAATGAATTATTTATTGCCAAGTGTCCAAATCGGGGAAGCACACGAAAGAAATAATAATACGTGAACGCAGGCACCGGATGGCGAAACGCAGCCGAGCACAGAGGTTGACCTCTTCATTTCGACGGAGAAGATCATGGTTCTGAACACGGACTTGAAGGAGATCATGATGGATCACGCGTTAAGAACAATATCCTACATCGCGGATATCGGTGACGTGGTGGTGCTGATGGCAAGAAGACGATTCGTGCCGCACGAAGTCGAGGAAGCGCCGAAGATCAATCGAACTCCGAAAATGATTTGTCACGTGTTCGAAAGTGAGGAGGCTCGTTTCATCGCGCAAAGCATCGGGCAAGCTTTTCAAGTGGCTTACATGGAGTTCCTGAAAGCGAACGGTATCGAGGATCACAGTTTCGTGAAGGAAATGGATTACCAGGAGGTTCTCAATTCCCAGGAGATATTTGGCGATGAACTGCAGATGTTCGCCAAGAAAGAAATGCAGAAAGAGGTAATTATTTCACTGTGTTCTTTGGCTTTGCAGCTTAAGGGGAGAGACAATTATCTTCAAAGGTCCTAGCCAAATAAGGAGAGGCAAAAAATGTGTCATCCTCGACAAAATAAGAAACCGATATTTTCTTTACGTTGTAGCCAAATTCTGTATATCATGATAGTATACACCATCCCAAAAAATCTGAGAAAATTATAAATTAATAATTACAACAAATTACAATATTTGTAAAGATATGAATACGGCAGTACGCACCGTTCGGCTGATAATGTAGAAAAATATCGGGTTTTATTTTTTTAACTGCGTTCCCCCAATTCGAGAAACATGAAAAAATGAAGTACTAATAATCATAGTAAGACGGTAATTCCATGGAAACATAAAAGTGGCATTCTGATAATTTAAATGAGAAGTCAGCATTTAGAGTTTTCTTGAATTTTTTAAAAATCGATTATGCAGTCCGAAATTCTCAGTTCAACATTTTTATCGAACAGAACATAAAATATTAAACATAAACTATGTATAGCATTTCACCCTGTAACTACCCTAATAGTAGGGGCAAGGGCTTAAAACCTGGTACAAAGGGGTTTCTTCGAAAGATTTATCGAATGGTATGTGCGAAGAAAACTCTCTCTTTGGAGAGAATATTCTATAGAGTACATACCATTCTCAATGTAATGTAATGTAACTTACGATTTTTTCGATATCTTTAATATTTATTTTTTTATGGACATTTGAAACTAATTTTTTGGCGTAAAAAGAGCTTTTTGCATTTCAAGGTCTTGCCATTTCTACAGTAATTCAAATTTTGGTAAAGCCGTTCGCTAGATTGTACATAATACATTTTTCTTTGTAAATCCATCAACAGATTTGTCTTCGAATATTCTAGCTATTTGCAATCGTGTCCAACGATGAATGTTATTTACAGAAAAGTTTCAAAGCTAGCAAATAACTCCGCCATTTTATAATAATTTGGTTAAAACAAGTATATAAAATCACGTTTATGTATCCAGAAAAAAATCAGATTTTTTCACAAAGAAATTCCCAAAACTTTACATATTTTTAGATGTCGCTAGGTAGTCCCCCCTTGCACTTAACGCTATCTTAATCGATAGCAAAATTTAAAAATTTTAAATGATACATTCAGATGAAACAATGATTTAAATAATGATATTAGAACGCAAGAGACAAAGAACATAGAGTAAACCAAGAGAAATCGAATAGAAATAAGAATCCAGTCCATATTTGTTGTATCACAAATTATACAGAGTATCCCAGAATAAATGGGAAATATTTTGGGGGTAGCTTTACCATATAAAAACAGTGAAAACAGTTCAGACAAACATGCGAGTTACTCCTATTATCTAATAATTGATTTGTGAAACTGTTTAATTTTTATGTGCTTATCATTTGCGAGCGAAATCTTGATAATGAAAACATTCCGTATGATCTTCTCAGTTGTTTTACATGGATTTTCGTTACCGGATGTCCACAGGTGGTGGTACCAAAGGCAAAGGGAGAGATTTTAGGCGTGGTCATTGTCGAGTCTGGATGGGGTTCCATGTTACCAACGGTGGTAATCGCAAACCTGGCACCTGCTGGTGCGGCTGCTCGTTGTGGACAGTTAAATATTGGTGATCAGATAATAGCAATCAATGGAGTCTCGTTAGTTGGTTTGCCACTCTCCACTTGTCAGACTTACATCAAGAATTCGAAAAATCAGACAGTCGTCAAGTTGACCGTTGTTCCGTGCGCGCCGGTTGTCGAGGTGAAAATCAAGAGACCCGACACAAAGTATCAGTTAGGATTTAGTGTACAGAATGGAGTAATATGTAGTCTATTGAGAGGTGGAATCGCCGAAAGGGGTGGTGTTCGAGTAGGTCATAGAATCATTGAAATCAACAATCAAAGTGTCGTTGCTGTGCCGCACGAGAAGATCGTCAACCTTCTTGCTACGTCAGTCGGTGAAGTATGTACACTTTCAGTAGCTATTACTAACACTAGAAGTACCGAGCATTTAACCCTTTACACCTGAAAGTCTTTTTCGTTAAGTTACATTCATCACTTTCTAATGAAATATTAGTGAAACTTTTTGTAATTAACAATCAAGGGGTAGGACTATTGTATTTCAATATTTTTTGTGTAATTACATTATATGAACTTTGACACTGAATATCAAACTCTATAATTTTGTTATATCAAACCAAATGGCGACTGTAAGTTGTCTCTCGGGTGCAAAGGGTTAGTAAGATTGATATGTCCTTGGAAAGATTGTAACAATACAGTTTTTTTTATATTTCTTTTGAT